CATAGGACTTGGATATTCCTGCGCGTCATCAGATCAGCAACCTCTCGGGACTTCCCAGTTAGCGATCCTACGTTCAGAGTCCCTATTCGAACTAGCTTCTTTGGCCGAGGCCGTTCACTCCTCGCATACTGACCACAGAACTCGGGCGGGGGTTCTGCGCGCCACTTCCGGGTGACGTCCTAGCTTATCACTGATTCTTTTGCGACTTTTAGACATGTTTGTGTGACTGGGGTGTTCATCAGCCGGCCTGTCAACCTGGGCCTGACGCTGGTACTAGAACCATTTTTGCAAATTTTTGCAAGGCATGGTTAACCTCGGCAGGGATCGAACTCGCTGTTTCCAGAGGCTTTATCACGTCATGTAGTGAAAACTCTCAACGTCAAGCCTTCATCCTCTTAGGAAATCCATTACAATGTCTGACAGGGGAACAAATCCAAGATATGCAACCCTGAACCAGACATCAATGCAACAGCTGTCAAAACGTGATTTGTTTAATTAATTACCAACAGCTGTCAAAACGTGATTTGTTTAAATAATTACCAACAAAACAGAAGTGCATATGGCTCACAGGTAGCTTCTGAAATTAAGTATTTATCTAGCTAGGCTGTCGTATCCTCCCCCCCCCCCGGGATGCGCGCCCATCGCTGATTTTATACTGAAGGGGGATTAGGATTTTGTCATGGGATTCAGCCAGAGTCGCCAGACTGGTAGCGCACTTATCACTCATGATCAGCGTTGGACCTGAGCTTCCTGCAGCAAAAGTTTCACGCGCGAAACGAAGAAGTCGAAAAGTCGAGTGCTGTACTAGTGAACCACACCCGTTGTCCCCAAACCTATGCGAATGAAGTCAATATCATAGCTCTTCGCCCCATGGTGCCGTGCTTATCAGTCTCGAAGAATAGGTGGTTTATGAAGGAGCCTTTTGTGCAGGACTTGAAAAAATATTTCGTAAGGAGAATATATTCGGTAGGTCATACCGCGGCCGCCAGTTGTGATTTTTCCATGGTGTAGATACGCAACCGTCTGGATCACCATCCGATTACCGTCTTGGTCTGGACACTAAAGCGTGTGTCACCGTAGGTTGAACCCTCTGACTACTGGTGGTACACATGTGTCCCACTTCCGTAGTCAAAGACACTACCACAGTTCAGGAGAATATTGAGGACAGGAGCGCTCATTTGATGGCTGAATTGTGCACAAAGAACGAATCTCATTCTACGTCGGTTCCACGCGGCGTGCGGTCGCTTGCTTTCCAGCTCACGTTTCTGTAGATTCTGTTGGTAGACCAAAAACATAACAATGAACAGAAGTCGTCGTGCTACTTCAAAGAAAAGTACCTCTGATGATTCAAACCTGATGCAACGTGTTAATATTAGCGATTCGCAACGTGGTAATCTTGGCAATTCACAACGTGGTAATCTTAACGGTTCGCAACGTGGTAATCTTGGCGGTTCGCAATGTAATAATCATGGCGATTCCTCAGAAAGCTCAGGGGCCCAAATCAATCAATTTCATTTGGATAAAATGAGTGCGGCAGATCTCATCAAAACCATTATTGAGCGCAATAAAGACCCGCTCATTGAACCGCTTCTTCTTGCACTATCTGATAAAATTCCCAAAGAGTTTTCGGAATCAATTGAAGGTGAAAAAAGAGCACGAAGTATCATAGTTTCCGGACTTGAGGAAGCGTCTAATGATATCCCTCCATCACATCGGCAAAAAGATCTTGAGGATAATGTTTCTAAAGTTTTAGATGCACTCAAGGTAGAATGCCGACCTTGTGAAATTTATCGGATAGGTAAGTTGGACCCTAAGCGTCCCCGCCCAGTTAAGGTCGTCCTTCCTGCACGTTCGCACTGGCGTACTGCACTAGCCAATGCTCGGTTGCTGAGAGGTGCTGGCTTTCCTCACGTGTTTATTCGTAAGAGTATGACACATGAGGAAAGGACAAGATTATAAGCTCAGGAGGTTAGGGTTGAATACCGTATATTTAATGCTGCGCGTCAAGTAGCGTGTCTAGTTGGTGCGGCTGCACACTTCACAACCTAACACACGGCAAACACATAGAATCACTCGGTTCGTCCCCATTTCCTTGATCTGACTTCTTTTGAAGGTTTCTTCTGAGATATGAGAGGTCCTTCTTCCTCTACTTCATTGCCTTCTCATACAGCTTCAGTTCAGTGCAACGTGCATGTGGATTGTATGAGATTCATAGTGATCTTGGTTTGCCTATACCAAAATGATAACTGAAGAATTGCTGTCAGCGTAGTTTTCAGATCTTCCATGACTCTTTCATGGATGCTGCATGAAGGTCATGGTGTATCGAAACTTTGGTACAATAACTATTACAACCCCAAAGTCTCAAAATGTTACTACCCGTAGAGGTAGTAGTTCGCCGCCATCACGAAAATGACATCACTGCTGATGCTAGCGCCATTTGGCGCTTATTTTATGCTTCCCTGAGCTCTCTCAGGTTTACTGCCTATGACTGTTTAAGGGGAAGAGGATTTCGGGGTGGACAAACTATGCACTGTGCGGCTCCATAAGATAATCCTGACCACGACCTAATTAGTGAGAGGGCACAGGCGAGCAAAAAATAGACCAGAAGTGGCGTTGGTACCAAAAATGAATGTTACACACGTAATCAGGGCACCAAATAACCCTTGCATACGAGTTCACAGCTAATTTGGTGAAAGCAGCCGTTGTGACAAAGTGGCGTCAGCGCCAAAAATAAATGTCATTTCCGAAATCAAGACATCGAATTACCTGGGCAAAGTTTCAACGAAAAGTAAAATTTTGAGACTTCGTTATTGTATTAGTTTACTAGAACCGGAACTTGTAATGACTTAGAATTCGAATAGGCGATGTTTTATTTAGTTTCTGAGTGTGAAGTATATACAGTAGCGGTCAAAAGTGTTCGCCGAAACGATTTTCGGTGCATTATTTTTCTCGCTTGAGCAACGCCCTCCAAAGATTGATATACTATGTTTTCTAGTGTTTTTATATCCTCAAGTCTTAAAGAATCAGGATATTCAAAAGAAAAAATTTCGAGGCACCATTGATTTTTTTGGCAAAAAAGAAGCACGAAAAATCGTTTCGGCGAACAATTTTGACCGCTACTGTATACTTGGTGTGCTGAAACTATTGATAAAGTATTGTACGTAAAGTTTTAAATCAACTTGGCACCAATGTTGGAACTGTAGTAGAAATCTAAACACATTTTCACTGTGATAAGTCAAACATTTACAAAATTTCGGAAAAACTTCAAAATTCCATCGGGACGAATCCTCCAATTCTAACCGAAACTTCAAATCGAAGTCAGATTAAGGAAATGAGGACGAACCGAGTGATTGTATGTGTTTGCCGTGTGTTAGGTTGTGAAGTGTGCAGCCGCACCAACTAGACACGCTACTTGACGCGCAGCATTAAATATACGGTATTCAACCCTAACCTCCTGAGCTTATAATCTTGTGAGGAAAGGCAGCGAGATTTCGAACTCAGGCAAATGGCACGTGATCGCAATAAAGGCAGTACTGTTAAGGAGTGGGTGGTATACAAAGACCAACTCATACGTGTAGCCGACCTCCCTAGCAGAAACTCGGGAAACCATTAAATTTGCAAGGTTATCCCGCACTGAATTGTTATCTAATTAACGCTCGTAGTCTGGTAAACAAAATCATTCATCTTCATTCCTTTATTACTGAGCTCAAGCCTGATTTACTGTTCATCACAGAGACTTGGTTTACAAATAAGATACTTGATTCCGAAATACTTGATACACTCCCCTATTTCCTTCACCGCTTTGACCGTACTCGCCGCAAAGGTGGCGGTGTCTGTTGTTTTGCAAAGGGCAATCTTCAAATTGAGTTAGCCTCTACTATCAATGCTGGAAAAGCGGATGTGCTTTGCTTAGACCTTTTCTGCCCTACCAAGTCTTCCCATATCCGCCTCATTACAGTATATCGTCCACCAAATTCGACTATTTCTGATGATGGTACATTAATTGATGCGCTTCAAGACCTTGTCTCGACTCGTGAAAACACCGTTGTTGTTGGAGATTTCAATCTCCAAATTGATTGGAGTAAGCCTATAGGGCAAAACTCATCTGCCCGCATTTATCTGGATTTTTTTCGAGATTGTGGGCTCCAGCAGTATGTTAAGCAGCCAACCCACTCCGATAAGGTTCTCGATATAATATTATCAACCACTGATGTAATTTCGAATATTTCCCTACTACCTCCTTTGGGTACATCCGACCATGCAATTGTTTCGTTTAAGCTGCTAGAAAAAGCAAATAATCACCCAGTTTACCCTGTTCCCGATTTTCTAAATGCCAATTTTGCCGCTCTCGATAACTTTTTCTTTAGCATTGACTGGTGGGCTCTTTTTGATAAGTATACCTCAATGGATGATATTTATCATAGGTTTTGTCGTGTTGTATACAATGCGCTTTCCTACTTCGTTCCCTTCAAGTTTCCTGGAAAATCAGGTCCCAAATATCCCCGTCACATTAGCAACTTACTGCAACAAAAGCAGCGACTCTTTCATGAGCTGGACTCCCCATTGAGTAATTCGCTCTACAAAAAAGTTTGTGATGATTTTGACCGACATTTGAGAAAGTTTCTTTCAAACTATGAGCGCCGTCTTGGTTCCCATGCAACTCTACATCATTTGTTTTGTTACTATCGACAAAAGTCAAAGCCCAAGGTTTTAGTACCTACACTTGTTGATAATAATGGAGAGATATACCGTACTGATGAGGATAAGGCAGAAGCACTTGCTAAATACTTCCTTAGTGTATTTTCATCGGACTGCTCAGGCGATTGGAACATAGACAGCCTTCCGTACATAAAAAATTGCTGCAGTGATTGCTTCTTCCATCCTAATTCTATTTCTTCCATTCTAAAACAACTTAGCCCATCCACCAGTGAACCATATGACGGGATTCCCAAATAGTCTATAAGAAATGCTATCGGTCCCTATGTCAGCCTCTGTCCATTATGTTCAATCTTTCTTTTCTTTTGGGTGACCTTCCTCAGCTATGGAAAGACGCAATTGTTTGAAAGACACAATTGACACCTATTCAGAAAAAGCCAAATTCAAACCTACTTAGCAATTTCAGACCAATTAGTCTTACTCCTACCCCACTTAAGGTAATGGAGAAAATAGTCTATAAAAAACTCCTATCATGGCTTCTGAGATTTCACCTCATTCCCAGAGATCAGCACGGCTTCCTACCAGGTTCCTCTACCACCACTAATCTTGCGGATACCTTTTACGACTTTTGTAAG